ATTTTAGAATTGATCAAAATATAGTTCTAAAATTTAAATATAGCTGAGTTGGTAAAAAATTGGTTAGAATATATGGTCTAAAATTGGTCAAAATATATAGTTCCGACCATTTTGATTGATCAAAAATTTTTGACGATTTTATTGGTTAGAATCAAAATTTTGGCCACTTTGTTGGTCAAATCAAAATTTTGACCATTTTTATTGGTCAAAACGTTTTGACTATTTTCTGACCAAATTCCATTTGCGACCATCGATTTTGGTCAAATACTAGTCAGAAATAGCTATTTTTGACCAATTTTAGACCAAATTGATTGTCAAAATTAGAATGTTTTCTTGTAGTGCRTGCTGCTGTCTCTTCCTGGTTCGACGTCACTCTTGGCCGGAGCTTGCTACCAGAGTTGCGATAAGTTTGTTTCTTTGAGTTGGTGTGGTTTGGGTCCTCACCTGTTACGGATCTTGTGTTTGGGTCTGGGAACTTTCAGTTTAGGGGTTTGGCATTAGCTTGATCGGAGATGGACGATTCATTCTAATGTCCTTGATTTTGGTCTAAGCTCTAGCTCATATCCGGATGGTTRATGAGTCTATGCMTTCGTTTGTATCWTGTTCCTGCTTGAGGTGGTATTTTGGCACTGCTTGATTAGGGGTGACTCTTTCTTAATGAAGAAGAAGGTCTCGGAGATGTTTTTCCTCGTCTTGCTGTTTAGTATCCTTTATATCCGATGTGAATAATTTTTTCTATTGGCGTTATGCATACCAACACCTTGCCTTCGTGTACTGGGTTGTGTATCAATATGAAGAATCTTGGATGTTTTGGGTCTACTCTTGYTCRGGATTGRTTTCTTCTTCCTGGTTAATCTTTGGCTTTTGTCACTCTTAGTTTGGTTCTACCTTGGTCTCGTGATATGATGACTTTGTCTTGAGTGTGCGTGCASCTCCTTCTCACCTTTATCGACATTGTGATTTGAAGCAGTGGTTCTACGTTTGAGGGATTCAATGGAAGGAAGACTCTTGGCTTTGTTGGTGTTCGAGTTGGTTGTATTAGATTTATAATCTTGGCTTTAGTTTGATGTTTCCGTAGCTATGCGTTGGTTTTATGGTTTAGAATTCGTTTTTCGTCTGAGAATCTCGGTATAGATTCTCCTTAGTATTTCATCTTCGTATTCCATCTTTGTAATCCAAAAACGTAT